TTTGCCAATTCCTCTTCCCAGAACTCAGAGTCGATGAGTCGAAAGTTTCTAATGACTATAACTCCAAAGTATTCCATCCTTCATCGTTTCTTGATCGTTTCTATTCAGTTCTTGATGCAACAAGATTATTAGGATGATTTCCAGTTCCAGTTCTCTTTTTGATTTTGCAGGTAGCCATTCAGAGGTATTTATCATCTCCAATAAAATGTCCTTGATTGCCTTCTTTTCATTTCGAAGTGTAAAATTTAGTCTCTTCTGGATGATCTCCGTGGTTTCTAGGTTGAGGGACGGAAGAGAAATTCAAAGCTTTATCCACATTTCTTGTCTGAATTGTAAGACCCGTCAGCCTAGAAGCACCTTCATTTTTTCACGATGGTTGGATCTCAGGCTGCCTATATATTCCATATTTATTCAGCTTCTTCTGGTGCCTTTTTTGATTAGGTCTGATATCCTTTTTGCTATCTTGCCTGTCATCTTCTGTAGTTTCAGGAAATCTTCAGGTATGAGAATTTGACTCAAATCATGCCTGAGCCTAGATTTAATATCCAAAAACTTTAATAATTTTCTTCTCTCTTTATTATAGGTCTCCTCTAGTTTTTGCAAAGAAGCTTGATATAATATAGAAGTAACTTTATGGGAATGATAATTTCTCATAAAATTGCAAAAACTATGAGCGATGCCATAACGTTTACAACAATTAAGAATGGTCAAATTACAAGATTGACTTACGATTATTTTCTTTGATCTGTTATAATCAGTGCATTGACTGACGATCTTACCACAGTAGATAAGAAGACCAAGATGGTGTGGCTTTCTGTTTGGTGGCAGTCTTAATTCCCCAAATATAGCGTAATCGAGGACGGGAATGGAAGGTTCTTAGGCAGCCAGAATTCAGACAGCCAAAGAGTGATTTTTATGTTTAGTAGCGGCCTAATGACAAGCGGTTGGGAAAAAAAGGGAGAAGAATGTAGGCCATGAGCCCTGCAAACGGCATCTGGTACCGGTAGTGAAGATTATTACACTTCATTAAATCCACTTGTAGCGACACACTCTTAGGCGACATTGGAGGAAATGAGAGCTCAGAAGTGTGTGAATAAGTGAATGGCCCATAAGAATTGGGGTTGAGAGAAAGAGATGCGGCACTAGAGGGTAGAACAAAAAATAGGGGCGAGGAGGGATGCTACAACATTTGAAGAGAAAATTGCCTTCAATTGTCACTTTGATAAGTTGTAACTATGTGTTTACGATGGCGCCCCTCACTGACGATGCCGGCGAGACGTTTGAGAATGTATCCAGCTAATGGTCCAATGCTGGAAATCACGAATACCATGGCATAGGAGACGGGACTTGGTACGTTCCACAAGGTCTCCCTGACGATCCGACCAAGTTGCGAAAACAAGGTAGAACCAACCCTGTAAGAGAGGGGTTAGCCGAAAATCTGGGTTGCGAAGATTTCTTTGTCTCGATGGAAATCTAGACATAACAGCCTAATTTAAAGTGCACGAAGAACAACCGTCTGGAATTTATGCTTGCTAAAATTACATACTTGGTAGAGCCAGTTGATAAAAGAACCATAAAAAACCCGAAGGCGCTGTACCGCAGACAGTTGATGAATTAAATCCTCGAAGCAAATGAATAAAATGTACTGATATCATCTTCAGAAGCCAAAGAAGTAAATTCAAGAATTGACTTTTTACAAGTACAGTTTGTTGCCGATAGTTGGAGAGAAATAAGTGGTGAGATCATTCAGAACAGCTTTGCTCACTTCGGTCTTAAGCAATCAGGCTTAGAAATGTAAGTTACGACGAATAGCGAGATTGAAGCCATTTCAAAACTGCGATATGCTGAACATTACAAGGAGTTTGAAGGCATCGACAGTAGTCTTGAAGATTACAATGAATCTAAAGATTGTAAAGAAGCAATGGCTGAACATATTGTGGCAATTCATTGAGACACCAAAAGGCTAAGAAAATGATAGTGTTTCAGAGTCTGAGCTTGAGCACGTGACTAATCGGAATGCAATCAAATTTATTGCTGGATTACGGCGCTACTTAATGCTAGAAGGCAATGTTAGCAGTCCTTACTATGCACTAGAGACCTGAGTCTATTTTGCTGCTTTTTGTAATAAACTAAGCGAACACGAAAAAGTACATTTGATAGATTTCTCCAAATTTCATTATTATTTTAGGAACTGCAAGCGTACTTGATACATACATTTTATATTTGCATAGTAAATATTGTTCTGTAATTCAATTATCTACATAATCTGTTGTTCGGTAAAGTGTAGTTTGTCTTTGGTTTTTTGCCTTTTAATCATAAACATAAAACTTCGGATAATTTGTGCAGCGGCTTAATTGGACAAAAGCGTTCAAGTCCCGATGTTTCCCAATTAACCGAAATCCATTGTATTAAGCTTAAAATGGAATATAAGAATAATAACACTCTAATTCTTTTAGATGCTCTAATAATTAAAGAAGAAGCAAGGTTGGAAAAGGAAGTTTATAAGAAATTAGTGAAAGTTCGTTTTATTCTGAATTTTATCTCTAAATGTATAATGGTAAATTGGATGCTTATGAGTAGTATGAGGCTAAAGAAAGAAGCATTTGGGACAATGATATAAACGAAATAGGATGAATACATCTCATACAATGATATATAACCTTGAAGACTTATTGTTACTAAAATTTTAACTCGAAGAAGTTGTTTGGAAGGGATTTGTGAATTGGCCTTGGAATGAAGGCTATTCAATTGTGTGAATAAGTCCTCGGCTCACGATCCTGCGACCCCAATAAACCAAGCTGAGCCTCCTTCTAGCATGTGAAGGAGATCCGCAAGGCGAGAAAACATGCTTTATAAAAAAAAGCACCAATTTACTCAACACATGGAATGTGTTACCGGATGCACTTCCTAAGCCAAATTTCGCGATTTTAATGAGACCTCATGATTTGAATGGCTACCTTATGCCTACCCCACAAACTAACGAAGCTAATGTAGGAAAGGTTGTATATGAGAAAGGCTCAGCCTTCCGTGAAATTCGCTTCTTCTCTGTAACATAATAACACTCGTGGCAGAGTGGCATAGTAGTTAACGTGTCGAGACTATACGCTGCTCTACAGCTGGGGTTGCTGATGAGACCTGGGCGAGGTCAGGACTGCATGAGAATACCTTTTAATGAGCAATGTTACATTAAAAATCAGTGTAACCATGATGCCCCTACTCTTATCGCTGCGGTAGCATTCAACTATCAGTCCGTAAGAACCTTAAATTAAATAAGGCGAATGCATTTCATGCATATGATCTGGAAGACGAAAAAATAAATGTTGACGCGTTCTTCGAATATGCCCACTTTTAGAGCGAAGTCTGATCAATTATCCAAATTGGGCTGCCATAAAATAGTGTTTTCCTGCAATGGCTCTTATATTTAGGGACGTATCACTGCATTTGCATACATGCTTGCAAAGGCTTTTGGGTAGAGCGTTATGAAGTGGTTGAGTATACGTTAGATGCTAAGATAAGATGATAAGATAAGCTATTAACATCAACATGGGGAATATGGGAATAAAATCAAGTGCAAATCTAATTAAGCTTAATTGTTCAATATAAGAATATGGGCAAATAAGTCACATACAGAAAGAAGACGTTACAACTAATCTATTCGCTAATTGCCTTGAGCGTATTTACATACTTCGCGTGAAAGTGCCTGATAGAGGTTCGTAGGCCAATTTCACCAGATGGCGACTTTAACTATTCTGCAGCGGATTGATGCAGTCCATAAGGAAATGGGCTAAGCTTTGGTCCATCATTTTGCTTGGCAAGATCCCATTTTTACAAAAGCCTCAAAGCAAAACCAAGTCGATAAGGCCTACCAAATTGACTTAGTTCTAACATGAAGCTTGCGTAAGAGTAAGTTTCAGCTCAGACGATGTCTATCAACTGGCCTGATTGATGAAAGTTCAACACTTTTGTTCCCGAACCGAATGAGGACGCCTCGTAGAATGATTTAAAGAACCACAAAGCAACGTGAACCAGCAGTCGTCTTCCGGTTAGATCGACAGGGCCCCACAAAAAGATATTCTCAAAGCCCAATTACTCATGGCATACGGTAAACAAATTCTAAACGTCTTTTCGAACCAGGCGAACAGAGGTTTCATCATGAAGGGGACTAGGTAAACTTCCGAGCCCCACTAACCCTTTGTGATACGGTAGCCGCTGAAGGCAGGTTGATTTTATCAGTTGGTAGGTGAGTTTAACACAAGGTTGAAAGGGGGTGACAGTTTACTCACTAGTCTTGTGGGGGATTGGGATATTTACCGATATTATGTTTGGGTTAGTACCGAAGAAGCTGAGACGACACACTGCATTATAGGCCGGAAATCGAGGTTTAAATCGCCGAAGATGACTTAAAACAACCCTCTGACGAGCAAACAGATAGGCTGATCCTGTTTCTAGTGCTAATAATATTTTTTCTCAGTGGATTAATTCAGTGGCTCATTCGCTCGGCTAAGGCAGCATTGAATGCAGGCTAGGATGATAGAAATGAGCAATGTCTGAACATCAGTTTGGTCTGAAACTGAGCCAATACAATTTAAGTCTTTTGTACAACTCCATGAGGAATACTTTCAGTATGCGAAGTGTAGGCAAGACTGGTTGCCACGTGGAGCACATAGATTGAAGTGGGCTGATCGATTGTTAGTGTGTCTGTTCATCCAGTTCTCCGGCCTACAAGTGACACAATTATGCTGGCTTGCCTAATTTTGTTCAGCTCAACATGATTGCTAGAGTGAACTGAGCAACCCAAGAAGAGATGTCCCCCTAAAGAACGCAATAAAATCTAATTTTAATCTGTATCAACCACGACAGCAACAACCTCTATAGCACAAAATCAGCAACCATATCCTCAATTGCAGTGTTAAGATTCCAATTCGGATCAGGAAGCCTGGCAGAAAATGAATATACGTCGAGGAGGAAGACGTCCGAAGTATATCGGAAGAAACGAGGGTATGAATTGGGGTGGAGAAGAGATTTGGCTACACGAATTGGAGGTGAGGGATGAGGATATAGCCCTAAAAGATGCGAAGTGCACCAGGACGGAGGGTAGGATAAAAAATAGGAAAGTGGTCAAGACGTTGACGAAATCGGCCAAAACGCCTGAAGATGTACTCAGTCGAATTCCAATGCCAGAAAAAGACACGAAGACGATGGCAGACACAAAACGGAGTGCATGTTTCGAAGACTCTTTGAAATCACGACCAAATGGCGTAAGCGTGGCCAAAAAAGAGTACGACCCAAACAACAACAACCCTATCTTGGGTTTCATGCCTACGATTTACTTTAGTCTGCTCTGTTAAAGCGACAACAAACTGTTATGTGCAGCATTAACGGTGGCAGGCTTAACCTCAATCTGGTGTGCCGCTTTACGAGTATGGCTAAATAAGAGCTGTCATGTATGTGAGTTAGTCGTGTTACGATTGAGGTCCCGCTTAGAAGAGGCTTGAAGGCCATACAAAATCAACGACGGATGGCACTCACATGCCATGAACAACGTTTTCTACAAGTCTACTCTCCAAATTGTAAGGATGAAACCAC